AAAACTATTGTATGGATTTCAATCATTTTTTTTTATTTTATTTCTTCGACACTTGGTTCTTATCTAAAAAATAAAAGTTTCAAGAAACAATGATTTTATAAGCACTAACTGTTCAGTGGTTTGTGTTTTCTTGCGGCGGAGAAGTGGGGCAAGCGATAGTTGTTAACATTAGCGCGGGTATCAGCTAGGCTAAAGTAATTTCCAAAAAATATGTTTTCATAATTTTATTGCAAACTTATTCACTAGTTATGCGCGGACATTTAAAAACTGAAATTGTAATGAGTCCGGTAGGTTCTTATATTAGATTTGTCTTGTTTATCTTTTGGAGACATGTTTTCCAAAACGAGTTCCACAATGGTACTATTATCCATTGCGATGTGGCATTGGTACTTAAGTCTCACGAGCCTAACTCTCAGCATTGTATACTGACCTTGTGCCGCTTAGATGCGATCGAGTGTGGCACGAGACTAACGAAGTGAAAGTTGACGACCGTGTGTGTGAGCGATGAGACTATGAGTAAAAATAGTTTGCATGTAATACGCTTTGGGAAAGGCTAATTAAAATCTGTCTCTGTTTGAAGTTTCGCTCCACAATTAACTGGGAAATTATTGAAATCGTTTACAATAAAATACAACAAAGCTGGCACACTTAATGAGTTTCTACTGCTGCATGAATGTAATGACTCTGTGGAGTGTGGAAGTACCTCAGCCTTACAAAACGTCTGGTGAAGTTCGTGGTTTACTCTCTTAATTGTCATATATGTATGTTTATAATATGGCTTATTAACCCAAATCAGTTGACTAATGACGAAATCCATAAAGGTCTCGTTTAGATATCCAACAACAGAGTTAATAATAATTTCACATCGGAGGCAAGCTCGTAAAAAACCTGCCCCCAAAAGGAAGTTCACATGTCTAAGCCGCGTTTTGGCGGATTTCCTTATGGCACGGCGCGGATCTTGACTTCTCGTTTAAGCTTCCGTTGAGCGACTTAGCTCAGGCGTGATGCGGGCGGACACGATACGACGCGGATGTCTGTCGCTGTTATACAACAGCTGCGTAATGGCATCACTTAGTCACCGGATTTCTTCGCGATTTTGACACTATCGCGCGTTGGCGCGATAACGGATCTTTCATCGAATGATTGTTTTGCGAGGTGTCAATCGCTTTACGTCTTTTTTGCTTGTAGTTATTGTTAGTTTTGTCTCGTTTGGACAGTTTGAAACCTCTTTACTAAATTTAATTTTTAACCCAGATCGTTTAAACAACCCTGTTCGCAGTTTGTGTAGTCAAATTTTACTTTTTGTTTCTACGGTTTGTCAAACTCGAATGAATTCTTTAAAACATGTTAATAAACATCGTCCTAGAATTAATTCTTCGGTGACACTGCTATGATCATTTAAAGCAGTCTTTTAAACGTCGTCAAACATCGCCCGATCTTCAAATACGATGAATGTTTGGCAAACGCGCCGAAAATTACGCGCTATCAAATTACCTCAGAAATACATTGTATAAGAAACGTTTATTTTCCAATTTATTCGAATTATAAATAAAAATAATATTGTTTGAACGATATTCCAAAAAGAGAACTTGTTAAACTTTCAATAGAAAACGCTCATACGCTTTAAATAATTTTAAAATAGTTTCATTTTTTCGAATTTCGAATTCCACATTACACATCCTACTCTATTCTCGTAGCTACTGCTCAAGCACGAGAGATAATATTTTTCAAACGTGTTGTTTCGTAACACTAAGCAAATATAACACGTACCAAGTCAAATTGTCCTACGTAAGCTCGGCGACAATTCGGCGATAAAGGGAGAATTATTAGTGTCACCTTTTGCCAACGCGGACCGGTCAAGTTGGTCACCGTCCTTTAACATACTCGTACATTAGAGGGGAGGTCGTTCGCTTTGTGTCTGATTGAGTATACGAGGTACATTTGAATTCAATAACAAGCTGGTACGAAAAGGTTTGTCAGTATTATTCAAACTTTAGAGCCGAGTTTAATTCATTTAGATGATAATAAAACTTTTGGTTTTCATTCGTGTGTATAAAAAAGAGGTAGCTAATGGACAGGCAGGTTATCTCATGACAATTGATTGCAGCCGATGGGGCCTCAAAATGCATAAATACTTCTTCTTTATGACGACCTTCTGAGAGACCATGGGAATTCCCGGATGAACAGACTCATTCATGAACGGTGGAAGTTGTTGTGTGGCTGTAAATTTAGAACGACACTATTTAACGATGGATCAAACCACCTCATACTTCTTCTACTACCTGGCATTAATCCTAGCTATTGCTAGGGTATTAAACCGCCTCATACAATTGACATCAACTTATGGTTGGCAGTCCACTGCCGTATTCAAAAATATATTAATTCTTTCTAACACGCACCACTTTGTGAAATCAGTTGTCGTCAGCCGTATTTACAGAGCGATACGACTTAGAATCCTATAAGAGAGTCTACTCCTTCCTAACTGAAAGCCCGTCCAAACATTTTTAAAACATTTTCAAACCGTTTTTAATTTCAGTATTGCGATAACATTTACGTGAGGCGCTTAAGAAATATTTTTGGTGTGGAAAGAGGACGAAATGTCGAAAATTTGACAAAATTGAATTTTTTACGTACAAAAGTGTAGTATAGTGTAAATAATAATAACACAAATAAGAAACAACTCATAACATACCGGAGAACGTTTCCAGTTCATAACTAATAACTTCCGCCAGTTAAGGTCATTAATATTGAAATGTTGAATAAGTTTTATCACAATAATGGAACTATATTTTATAGTATGTTCGTGAACGTAATAATATAATCTAGGTTGAGATTTTATATAATGTACCTATCGACAGTAAAACGGGAAAAAGTGAAAAAAAAAAGCAAATAAAATGATTGATTAATTTCGGTATAATTGTAGAAAAATATATTATCACTTAAATAATTTTAATGCCATTTCTTTTGAATTTTTATTAACTTTGTACTTAACTATTTGCATTATTATACTTCATATACTTTTGAAGGGAAATATCAAAAAAAAAAAAGCTGTCGTATATTTACATGTTTTAGACCTATAAAATGAGAGATATGTGAAGTCCGTCAATCCGCAGTGGGGTTGCGTGATGGACTAAGCTCTAAAATTCTCTCTACAGAGGAGGCCTTTGCCCAGCAGTGGGGCATATATAGGATTTTACTTACATTTCACTTATCAATAATTACAAACTGGAACTATTAAAGATTCAAAACCCATTACATTTTAAGGATAATTCCTACACCGCCATATTTTTCTCATTGTTTGAACAACTGATACAATATGTCATATCGTTCAGTCAATTGTTTAACCCACAACATATCTCTGCACTTTTAAATAATTCATGTGGCGCGACTAAAATGGAATACCTAACAGGTTAAACTTTGTTGGGCCGAGGTATCGCCGCACCGCCGTGTAGTTAAAGAATGACCTCAACCATAAAATTTAGACGCGGCCGTATTTTCACTGTAAAATGATAGTGGCATTTTAGTAAACATATATTAGTAGTTAGTAAATATATATTAGTAAATATGTATTTGATAAAGCACTTAGTTAAGTCAAATTATGGTTTATTAATTTTTTGCCCCCTGGCAAAGTTAGATATACGAAAAAAAGCGATGCTGTTTTGCCTTTAAGAAAAATATAATACATCATTAAATAAAAAATGAACAGAAGTTGAATGAACGGAAAATGCATAAATTTATGCACGTAGGCGTTTTCAAAGGCAAGCTACATAAATAATAATTGATTGTTACCTTTGGCGAGCCTTGGATAAGTTTGGATATGTCTGCATTCGTGTGCCATTGTGATTTTCAATCTTCTTAGTTATACCATTTCCCGATTCCTGTGAATAGGAAGGAATAAGTGATTCGTGACAACAGGGAGTGTACTCATAAGTAAATGAATAAACAAGAAATATATTAAATAGAGTAAAATAAAGTAAAATAAGCATTCATTTTAATCACATAATAGACCGCCACATTCATTAAATAATTTTTTTTTATGCGAAAAGTTGTCAAACGAGCAGACGGTTCACCTGATGTTAAGTGAATACCGCCGCCCATGGACATCTGCCACACCCGAGGGTTACAGATGTGTTGACAACCTTTTAAAAATTGGGCTCCGGCTACCTCACTCACCAGACGAAACGCGAAAGTATTTGTCATACTTCCACTTTACGTCGGTCTGAAATTTTAAAACCGGCCAAGTGCGAGTCTGACTCGCGCACGAAGGGTTCCGAATCATATCTTTAAAAACGTCAAAAAAATCATGTCTGTTTTATGGGAGTTCCACTTAAATATTAATTTTTTTTATTCTGTTTTAAAAACGTCGTAACTTCAATAGAGAAGACGTTTGGACTTTACTATCAACTTAGGAGCCAATAACTAATAAAATTAAATCCAAGCAATACTGTATTTCAAGATGCATAATTCTAAAAAAATATTCAAGCAAAATATATTTTTAAAACATTAAAACTCAAAAACGTGTGGTGGTATTGTAGTAATCATATACAAGGTACAAAAGGGATAAGATTACTTTGTTCCATATTATATAATGTATTTTTCAAATGATTAATAAATAGTACTAGCTGCGGTAACCACAGAAAATGTATAAAAACTAATCGATGAATTATATTCATCGATTTTCATCTACATTTGTACATGTGGTAAATTTTATTTATTATTCCGTAGCTGTGTGTGATGACTAATAAATAGAATTCAATGTGAGGAACAGTTTTGCAATATATTTTGCTATGTTTTAGTTATAAGTTTTTATAAAAAATTCTAAATGAGCGTAGAGATATTGCGTAAAGTTGTGTTACAGACGAGAATCCTTGAGAATGCACGTATGGAGTTAATCTAAAGACGCAATAAAAGCTCTCATCGTTTATAAATCGAAATCATTGTACCTCTTTTAAATGTTCTAATCTTTTAATTATTCGAATTCAATTTATTTAACGTTACAGAAACCGATGTCTCGATAACAATAAACGTGAAAGATAATGATACACCCACAGGTAGGTAAATAATAGTAAACGCTAGTAGTTTGACTATAGTTTAAATTATATATTTCATTAGATTTTACTCATCCATTTTCTTTTTAGTTGATACAGAGAGTGGGCGCTTAATCTTTCCAATTTTCATTATTCAGAAATACTTCCACATAAGATCTTCGGAATAGTCATTGTCTTTTAGTCTCGCGTTTTTTCCTTAATACAAATTCTTAATTCCCGGCCAAGGAATCAGCTATAGGTTAAATAAATCTAAGCATTAAATACTATTATTTGGATTAATTATATAATTTGATGATGATAGATAATTATTAGATTATTATAGTTATTATCATTGGTATTACAGGTAGAAAATATTGACTACAGTTCCGAAAAATGATTATAAGAATGAAATATACTTATTCATGCTTTACATTTGATACCATTTTGATGACTTTTTTTAAAATTTTTTGCTAAATTTACAAGTAAATGTGAAAACTTTGGTACGATTTCCATTTGACAATGGAAATTATAAAGTTTAATCAAATTATTTAGAAAATACTTTATTTTATACTGGCAAGCCACATAATGATTACTGTTCCTGCATGAGAATGTCGCCTAAGCCAGAGAACTTTACACATTTACACGGGAATTTATGGAATGGGACAAAGTAATCATGCTTTTGAGATTCGTCTGGGTATAACCGGGTAAAACTGATTCTCGTGAAATCAGTTTTACCCGGTTGTAGATTGACTGTTCTTGTACATGTAGAGACTACAGTCAGTAGTAATCAAGTAAAGCGGTTATTGATTTGCACACTGCCTTAACAAAAAAACATAAGCTGTGGCTTGAAGCAACATTCACTAGCTTTCAGTTACACAAGCCAATTATGACTCAAATAAATTTATCGTTTATAAATATTGAGGCCAGCAATATTAAATTAAATTCTTCTATTATGATGACTTTATTTTGGTCCATTTGGATTGCGCTCGATTCATATCCACATCATAATTCGTCTTTATAGCCTACCCTGAAATTTTCACTGACGCCGTGAAGTCTCTTCCATTTATACTCATTTGGATCTTTGAAGATGTCTGCACTTAATAGATATTCTTTAAAATTTGTTTAAAGTACACGCTACTTTTATGAGTGGAAAATTTTTTTTTTTTTTACGTGAAGGTACTCTATCAGAAGAAAGTTGACCGAGCTTTCAAGAATCGCCATTATTAACAGTTTTTTTGTGAAGGCTAAAACTTCAGAACCTCTTATAAATTAAAATAAGCCGATTTTCTTTTTTCACATAATTGTATAGAGAATCAAATAAAAAGCCAATTTGTGTGTTTACTCTCTAAATTGTGGTGTAATCTCAAAGGCCTAAGTCGTATAGAAGTGTAAAAAATTAGTTTTGTAGTATTTATGATATACTCCATCAAAATAAATATTGATAATTATTTACTTATCTAGTAATAATAGTGCTAGAGGTATAACTGCCACAAGGTAAATTATAGTTATTTGCAGTTGCAGAACCCGACGACTTCGTTAAGACTACCGAATTTACTTCAACAACGGATAAAAATACGCAAACAGGTATTACGAAGCAAACCGCAAAACACCTAGTCTTTGATTATGTTTTAAATACATGGTTAATAATTTTATTTTCTATGACATGCGTATTCGATTAAGTGTAAACTTTTATGCTTAAAAATTATGTTAAATGATTTAATAACTTGGAAAGATGAAAATTAACAGCTTTTAACCGAACCAAACCAAAAGAGCAACCGAATTTACTTCAACAACGGATAAAAATACGCAAACAGGTATTACGAAGCAAACCGCGAAACACCTAGTCTTTGATTACAATCTTGTTTTAAATACATGGTTAATTATTTTATTTTCTATGACATGCGTATTCGATTAAGTGTAAATTTTTATGCTTAAAAATTATGTTAAATGATTTAATAACTTGGAAAGATGAAAATTAACAGCCTCGCAAAATATGCAATTTGAAAGTACGATATCAAATATTATTATTTAAAGTTACAGAAACTGATGTCTTCCTTATCACTACCGAGCCTACCTCGTCCATGATAGACAAAGATACAGGTATATAAAAGCTAAGTTCAAGTAGCTTTGGTGTTAACTTCACATATTCATTACTTTTGAACTTTTCTGTTCGCGCTTTATCCATCTTCATAAAGTACAAAGTTAGTTCAAACGTTTAATTTAGTTTGCTTTAATAGAGCTGTAGCTTTAACTGTAGATACGATAAAGTAGAATGAAGATTATATATATTAAAAATGACATCGGGGCTGCATCGGCGGCAGCTGAAGTAAGTAAATCGCGCAAATATGAGTCTTTATGTTCAGATTATGTATTTGTGCCATTTGCTGTTGAAACATTAGGTCCGTGGGACCCCGCACATCAATTTTTTTTAAAGTTTATGTCCTAGGCTTAACGCCGCGGCTGGTGACAAGAGAGCTGGTTCTTTTCTCGCTCAAAGGTTAAGCATAACTATTCAGCGAGGAAATGCAGCTAGCGTTCTTGGCAACATGCCGCGTGGATTAGGTTTAACTATTAGATAATATGTAATTTTAGATAGATTAAATCTTGTAAATATTATAGCTGAATTAAATTTGAATAAAAATCGTTTTTTATATTAAAACTATATTATTGTGTATTATAATGAGGTAGGACCACGTAGCAGATTCTGCCAAACATAACAGACAGAACCGCCTCTATTACTTAACTTATAGATCCCTCCAATAATTTGCCCTTGGGGCACATACTTGTGTTGTACAAGGCTTGCACACGACCGATATTGTAGTACGCTTGTTGTTATTTGCCTTATGTCCTTTGCTCACTTAAGCCCCACAAACCTGCATAAGGTTCAGGTAATTCAAAATAATTTCCGCCTCGCAACCAGTCTTAGGTGGTATCAACGCAACAGCAATATACACACTGATGTTGCGTAATTGCAGATTTTGGACGCTACTTGAGCATTTTCAAGAGTTAACCAAACGGTTCATCGAAAAAGGTTCAGCTTTTTTTGATGAACCGTTTGGTTCCATTCTAACCCTCTGGTGGTTAACGCGAATTACCCACCCGACGTAAAGGCTACCGTTCGCAAACATTACCAGTGCGATGTCCTGATCGACCCAATCTTAATACTATAATATATATTAAAGTAGGAAAAAATAAAAATAAAAATTTGCCACAATGTGAACTATGTTATGATTTCTTCTTATTGATGATCATTTAAAATGATTTAAATTTAATCATAGAATAATCAAGAATAGTAAGATATTTTATGTTTATCAGACGTCTTTTGTTTCTGCCCCATAGATTACATAAAAACGTGAAAAATTAATAAATGTTGTTGTATAATTGTAAGATTGTTCGTGTGCTGTAAAGGATTATAACAATTGATGCGATTGCAATCTTACGCTTGATAGCTTAAATTGCAGAAAAACACGTCGATATAATACGTTGAGATTGTTGTCGGCGTGGCAGTCAGCTGTTTAGCTTAGTTGTTAAAACGTCTGGGCGAAATTCCGGAAGACGCGGATAGACGGGTTCTAGTGCCGTGGCGGATAAAAATTTTACGTCTAATATTTTTGAAAATTTTTATTGTATTTACTCTTGATATTTTTTTTTATTTTCAAACGAAATAAATAAATATTCACTTTAATTGTATCTTATAATTTTTCTTTTTTCATTTAGGTAAGTTGGCCAGTGACGATGAAGAGGTGGCAGCACAGCAAATCGCTCACCTTACACTACCACCGTTCACTTTTACAACAACGGCGAAGCCAACGACAACTCATTCAGAAACTACAGTTACATCTACAACAACACCAACCACACCAACAAGATCTACATCAACAACAACGTCAATAGATTATAAAACTGAAGCGGAAACGACGTTAGAGCTGACCGACATGGGCGATTCTATGCTGAAGCCTAAGCCTAGATTGCTGGACTTAAGTGTCGATGAGCTCCAGAGTTTTGCAAACGCTTTACATAACCAAAGTAATCTGAATCTAAAAAACAAAGGGATTCCAGATTTGAGCGAAATATCTCTGGACGCTGATGAAGATGATGAACCGCCAAGACTGATTACAAACGTGCCTAAAAATAAGGATATATCTGATAAGTTTTATAGTAACCTTCAAGTGCCGTTTAATCCTTTACTCTCAATCGATAGATCGGACGAAATGGAAATGTGCAAAGATAATGAAATTATGTATAAGGTCAGTAATTTTTAATTCTAACCTTTATTAGTTCTTATACTGACGATTTGATTAGTTTTTCTGTGAGTATAAATCGTTATTGAAATTATGTAAAGTACGGGAACATATTTTAAAGGAAATTAGCTGAAAACTCTTTTTTTAGGTAGGTGAACGCATTGACCGTGGTTGTGAAGAAACATGTGAATGTACTCCGTCTGGTGTGTTCGATTGTTCACCAAGATGTAAGCATCCGTACATACGGCGTGGAAGAAGGCTTAATGATCCGTTGTGCTTTGAATCACCTGTAGACGAATGTTGCTCGATTATTGCTTGCTCTACGGGCGCTGGAGGTGAGTAGTTTTTATGACAATATAAATTTCTTAGTTACTTAATATTTCTGTGTTTTATGTGGCGTTAACTACAATATTTTAGAACACAAGCAAAAATCAAAGGAGATGTGTAGCTATGGTAATGAAACGTATCCCGTGGGTATGAGTTGGCATGTGGGCTGTGAGCACACTTGCACCTGTGAACGAAATTCTGTAGTAACCTGCAAACCCCGGTAAGCGGACCTTTCTGACATTTTTAAAAATCCCGATTTAAATCAATTTTACACTATCCATATTTTTTTTATAATTATTTTGTACATCATTGATAGGTGCAACCGACTGCAACCTTCGGACAAGTGTATAAATGTGCAAGATCCTAACGATGCATGCTGTGAAGTTCAAGTATGTGACGTGTCTTCTGATGCTCACGAAGAGCCTGAGAATATGACGATAGCTACGTCGTCAAGCACAGCTAATTCCATCCAGTCTTCAACTACTCGTCCTATTACTACAACGCTAATAACTACGCCTACCAGCACTACAACTATGATTTCGTTCTCAGAAAACACCTCTGAGGTATTAACTTAATTTCATTACTTTAATTCATAAGGCTTGTTCAAATAAGCAAATTAAACTAATTAAAGCGAATTGCTATCCCGCCTTTTGAGGAGGGACCAAAGAATCATTTAAATTCTCATTTCTTAAAAAAACTTAAAATTAAGCAGACCTGCGACATATTTTCACAGCTTTTTTTGTAATTTTTTTAGAAATTTAAGGTTTGATTATTAAGTTGATTTTTTTCCATTAGACGGGAAGATCACTAGATGACGAAGAGGAATTATTTAGGCCTACAGTTAGGCCTTTAGTTTTATCGGAGCCAATTGGGTCAGTGACAGTGCTGCAAAATAATAGCGTTCAAGTTAATTTGATGCATATGAACAATAGCGAGGATCCAATACATCTGTTGTTGAGTAGTGACGGGGGCCGTACGTTTAGAGATGTAGAATTAAAATTTGCCAATATGATACTCAACCTGGAAGGTGGAAAAGATTACATTTTGAAGACAAGGGAAACTGGAACGAAGTTCAACTTCACAATCACGGCAACGGACGCTGCGACTAACGAAGTGTCAGTGGTGGAAATGGTCACCCCGTTGAAGATAGGATGTCACCACGAAGGAAAATTCTACGCTGTTGGTTTGTAATCAACTGTTCATACGATTTTTGATTGTTATTAATCTTTTTGTTTTGTTCTAACGGTGAGTTAAAACATAGTGGTTCAGACACGTCCGGGAAAGTACCACAGCCTCATAGAATACCAACTTAAAATGAAATTATTAAACTTTCGATTTACTTCTGATGAGTAAGGTAAATGTTCACTTTTTTAAAGGTTGACAACGCAACTGCAAACCCGCTAGTGTCAACAATAAATGGAAACAATAAATCTTATAAGCTTTCAGTCTCTAAATATATCGGTGTTATAACTAGGCGAAGAATTCCACATCGGCTGCACGGAGCTCTGTGAATGCACGGGCCGCGAAACTCGTGAGTGTGCAGCGTTGGTGTGCCCCTCTCATGTCGGCTTGGAACTGGTGTCTAAGGGTTGCGTACGGTGGGCGACCAGTCCACCAGCTGAGCCACCCAACTGCTGCCCAAGGAGTGCAAGATGTTTAAGCGACGGAACATGTCATTACAAGGGTGTTGCGTAAGATCCTTATCATGTATTTTTTTTTTTAATTTTTCTTTACAAATGATGTATATTATATGGGGAAAATTGCGATTAAAGTTTGATCACTAACCTCGTCCGTTGGACTTTCAAAATTTGTAGGATTGATTCCAGCCGTCTGACTTAGGTATAATTCTCATTAAAAATACTTTTTAAAATTATTCTTCTCGATAAAAATCTATGAATATAATAAAAATATAGATTTTAATGCAGCAAAAAATAATCAATTATTATTTCACTCATTATCCCACAAAATTGGAGATACGATAAATATAGAGCTATAGAAAGATAGAGAAAAATATAGAAAAACAGCAAATTTTGTTATAAATGTTCAAGGTGTGCATGTTCTAGTTTTTTCAAATATTAAATGAGAAGGGAACATTTCAAATAAAAATATGGGCCTTCAATAACGAATCAATACGCTGATGACAAACTAATATCTGTAGACATTATTGAGTCCAATAATGTCTACAGATATTCACACGGCTTATTTTTTTATTTTTCAATAATTTCAGTGTGCCAAATTGGAGCGAAGTGCCAATTTCGCTTACTGGTTGTGAACTGCGCTGTTTCTGCGAGAACGGTGAACTAGACTGTCAGGAAGTCTGTTCGCCGTTACCCACGCTGCCGCCGCAGTCTTTGCGCTGTCCACCTAATCACCGTCCCGCCGCCGTTAATATATCCGGCGAGGACTGCTGCAAACAGTGGGGCTGTTTGCCCAATGGTGAGAACAAACCTTCCCACAAGAGTTCATTAACAGTAACATCTAATTTTATGTCTCATATTTAATACTGACTAACTTAAACTTAGTATATTATTCAATTTATCAATAAACATTAAAAATAATGAAAAATAACCCAAAAATTAGATTTCTGTATGAAACAAGGAAATAACATTTCCTTCTTTCATGAAGAAATCTAATTTTTAATTCTATAAGTAAACGTAATTTATTTAACATTAAAAATCACTGCGCTTTATATCTCCCTGCCATAATCATCGTTGTATTAAATTGTCTGAGCCGCTACTGTGTTATTTTTAATATCGCTAATAATAACTTTAATTTCACTCCTAGTGTGCAAATCAATTAAAACATCTAGAACAAACTCGACTCGAGTCCATCATCTTAAAAAAATATTTCATTGCATGATCGCTGATTACAGTTTATCTATCATCACCTTATTGCTTGCAGCAGGACACAGGAATGGATCTAGATATGCGCATGTTTCAAAACCGCATGAAGCAACGCAATTGATCAATTTTGTGACACCGGTCGCACCTATCTTACCGACATTTACTACATCAGTACTGCCGACACCACCTGTAACGACTGAGATGACAGACTTCTTTAGACACTTAAGTCCAGTTAAAACTAGACCTAAAACTAATAAGCCTGCGGCGCCACCACCTGTCCCAGGTCTTGTCATTGATAACTCATCAAATCATTACGGGCGAGGGTCAAAAGAAAAATTTATGAGTGTTAATTATACAATGTACGATCCTAATGACTTCAATCATAGGCCCTTTAAACTTCTTCAACCATACCACCTGTAACAAGTATCAATATCGATTGGAAACCCCCACAGAAAACTAACAATGTGCCCGAATCACATGCTAATGTACCTTCACAAAAACAACAAAAGAATGCCAGTATATCACCTCAGTACCCTTTTGAACCACGAACTAATAATCACGTTAACTTAGTAATACCTGAAAATAAAATAAAAGAATTCCTTCAACAATATAAGAAAAATCAAATATTAGAATCAAAATCTATAACCGAACACGATTCATTCATTAAACAAATGCATGAGTCGGTTAGTAAAGTACCTTTATTGCAAGTTCATAATTTGAATTATTTCTTGCCAGCTTACGATCAACAAATTGCCATCCCACGTACCTTTTGGTTTTGGTGAAACTAAGGGTAAGACTACAACTAAGACCACCACCCGTACTACGACCACACCAAAAAATTACTTTGAGCCCATGTTTAACCAGACCTCAGATTACTATAGGAAATATCCAAATCCTCTAACATTTAAAACTGGCCGCCATGATGTTCATGGGTTGCATGGAAAACATGTTACCATATTAAGAAATAAAGACTTGAAACCTACGAGGCCTACTGACAATGAAAAAAAAGAGAAAACTTGGTCTGAACCGAATCCACATGTGTTGTCAAAAGCACCTAATCCATATGAGACGGTTTTGTTTCGAGTTTTGCCAGAACAACTAACAGACATGAAAAAAGTTCCAAGCAATAGTGTTAAGCTTCCAAAGGTTTCAGACCAAAGTTATTCAACGTTAGACCTGGAACATATGCTATCCCAAATGGAAGTGGAATCGGAAGTTAACAGAAATCTTGGACGTTCTGCCGATAAAGATATAGGAGAATCGTTGGCAGGTCAGTGACCTTGCCTAGTTTAAGTTTATGTGTATTGTAGTTTGAATAAAACTCTTTGTTGACGACTAAAGGACTGTTAAAAAGCAAAGACTTGACTATTCTCTTTGAAATTTTCAGTAGTGCATAAAAATATAATAACATATTTGATAATATCTCTTCGCTTTACTATTTATAAAAGCTTTCCACCTCATCAATTGCACATTTAATCATTAACAATCTAAACCATTCTTTACTAACTTTACCACGTAAAAGAAAGCTGCTATTCATAATCTGTTTGTATAGAGATGTAGATATTTTGTAAATTTTTGAGGGTCTATTTTTTTGTTTTTAGTAAAGAAACTCTTTTCAGGTCAATTTCCTCCAGGATTTACACAGTCGCCTCACTCTCAAGAACCTTTCATGCCAACCGTTCCTCCAGACGTACGATACCCTCAAGAAGATGATTACGAACAGAATAATATCCACCGGCCACTTAACTTGGATCCTACTCTTACTGGACTCCCGCCGGGGTTGGCTTTGCCACCTGCCTATGCGGATGACAATAAAAAACTATCTGTTATATTGTTGCAAGCTGATTCGCCCACAAGCGTTAAGATGATTTTTGGCCTACCACCGGTACTAGTGGGATTGCGAGGCAGTGTCGATCTCAGATATACAGACACAGCGTAAGTTTTAACTCTTTAACTTAAGAGTTTCATTTTATGTGCTAATATAGTTTTTTTTAATTTTTAACCAAAAGATTATTGAACTATTAAATTTTTTGTTTGAATCAGTAGATTTATGTTTAATATGACATACTGAAAAAATGAGTTACTGATTCCTTTATTATTTATTTGGTAGTGAGCCAAAAATGAAAACAAATTTATTAGTAAACGGTTAGAAGTCATAGCAGTGTTAGATTAAAAAAAAGTATATTTGACTGATAAGTTTTTTCCACTTGCCACAGGGATGAGGACGTCGCTCATTGGTACTCCCAAATATTCGCTCCAGCAGACGAAATCCTTGGAACACCGAGGTTAGACTTCCGTTTGACCGGTTTGAAACCCTCAACCACCTACAAGATACGTGGTAAATTATACTTACACAATCTGCCAGTTGAGCCAGAAAGCGACGTGTTCACCGTACGCACTCTAGATTTACCGACAGTAAGTTTTTGAATAGTCTAATAAATTTTAAGTAGATGACAAGTCTTTGTCGGCTTCTGATTGACCTAAATCAAATAAAAATTCCGTACTTAACGGCGCTCTGTAAAGCGTTTATTTTTTACGTTTCAGATGCCACCAGAAGAGAAGAGACGAGAAATTGACAGCAGGTTGGTAGTTGTGGATGTGAATGACACCACAGCTCATCTCAGCTGGAGGCACTTTAGTGAAGACGAATTGGAGTTCATTGACGGCATCCAAGTGCGGTGTGTATTTGTCTTTTCAACTTTTACTCGTAAAAGAATAGAAAGAAACATATACAAACACTTATGCATCACCAGGGAGGCAGGAATTATTCTATACGCGTCAACTTCCACGTTCCTGGAATAACTCTTTCCCGTAAACCATGTTTTACATTACACACCATATTTTCCTCTGCTCTATTAGAAGTAAATTGGTTAAAATGAGCTTTCTCATATGAAATGGTTGTCATCTGTTTTATATATTAAGCTAAAAAATAAAAAAGCTTCAATATTTGATGTAATTTTTTAATATGTATTTTTTTTAAAATTTTATTTGTATTCTGCAGGTATTCCACCAGCATTTTTTAGGGTTCCGTACCTTAAAAGGTAAAAAAGGAACCCTTATAAGATCACTCTCTTGTCTGTCTTTCTGTCCGTGTGTCACCATAGTTTTTGTCAAGAACGGGTAGATCTAGCAAGTTGATATTTATACCATATACTGAGGTCTATAGTCCCTATTAGGTGTATGACAATCAAGATCCTATTTCAACACGATAAAAGATATGGGCCAAAATTTACGATTAGGTCAACCGGAAGTACTCTACCAACCCTTCCCGTAGACCTAGAATCACGAAATTTTAAATTCCGAAGTATTAAAAAAGTTGAAAATTAAATTGAATTTTGGTACTTACAAGTTTTCGCAAAAATCTAAATTTGCCCATATCTTTTTATGTATATATATTGATTGAAAACTATGTATGGCAAACTGCAATAGGGCCCCCATATTAATAAGCTGACTAGGCTTAGCTCAGCAGCTTTCTCGGTCAAAAAAAATAAGACAGTTGACTGATGTAGATACCGCTCGCATGGTATATTTTAGTTATTTCCACAGTATATTGTCTTATGGCATTCTGCTTTGGTGTAACGCGGCGAACATTAATACAATAATTAAATATATTTTTGAATAATTCAAAAATGGTTCAAGTTATTTTTTTTTTGTAGTTACAAACCTAAATAAAAAGTTTAGGTTTGTGCGATGTAATTTATTATTCTCTTTCTATTCTGTAATCTAGATGGTAACTAAAGTTACTAGTATAATAAAAGTTTGTTACAATTTATCTTCAGATACCGACCAGTTGGCACGCCAATCTTTAGCATGACGGAGTTACTTCATCACAGCCGTTCTGTAGCTGAGCTGAACGATCTGCGACCTGGTGTCCACTACGAGGCTTCGTTGGTATTGATTCCCCCACCGCATGCGATGACGGAACTGTTCGACCCTACAAGGGTGGAGTTTAGCACTTTGCCTTATGTTGGTATGTATCAAAATAGACATTCTAAAATTTAAAAACAGTGCCATCGGCTCCGTGTTCGTGTTGTAAAAAGCGATTCGGGTATCTCTGTTTTTAAAATGAAATTTTATTTTCTCTAGCACGATCGCTTTGAAGGCTGTCTTTCTAATCTGTTGTACGCTTCCTTTTATCTTGAATCCTATTGTGATATTTAAATTAGGCCGGGTTTAACTGGTGATGTTATGTGTTTATACAGCACAAATATCTGTATCCGATTCATCCTCCTTTCTTAACGAAATTGATTTCGGTTGACTTACATTGCACGTTTAACAGTTGCTGCAAGTTTGAATGTATTTTGTTTCCGCGATTTTAAATTCGCTTTCCCCAGTCCCTTTAAAAAAATTGACTTTGAGCCATATAAGCCATATTGAGTGGGTCTACATAATCACCGCCACATGACAAGCTACTTAGGTTCCTTATTATTAATCAAAATATAAACCATAGAAGCCGTATACTTCCAGAAACTTAGATCGGGCCAGATGGGCTAATACCAAATTGTTTTAGTCCTCATTGATATATTATTACGTTTGAGACTACATGTGTTTCATATTTTTCAGTTACAGTGTCAATTAATTTTTTTTTAAGTCAGAAGGTGGCAAGTGAGCTGGTAGTTCACCAGATGTTAAGTGATAAATGAACATTTGTGATACTCGTGGGGTTGCAGATGCATTGCCACCTGATAATAAAGTGGGCTCCGGCTACCTCACTCACCAGATGAAACGCAGAAGTATGATACTATCACATACACAGGTCACTCGTGAGGTCGTGGTACTTAGCCGTACGGACCTGCCCATTCATGGAACAGCATTCAACGAAGCTGTGACGTAGTTCTACCACAGTTGAATCATTTGCTATAATTTTTCATTTGCTTTAGTTCATTTTCTTGATAGTTAATAATTTTACAGATTGTTTCATTCGTAACACAGTCTTTGCGTACACAGTTCACTAATTAACCACTGACCATGACGAATTAGATGACATCATCGGTCATATTCTCTTCTTTATCTTACGTCTTCAGGTATTAGATGACATCATTGGTCATATTCTCATCCTTCTATCTTCTATTACGTCTTCAGCCAGAAATAAGCGTAGCCGATTAAGCAGGTAACAATGCGAATGACTCCTACAGACCCGTACAACTGGTCGGTGGTGGTGGAGACGCGCGCCGTGGGCTCGGACGCGGCGGATCTGACCTGGCACGGGGTCCCCTCGCCGGCTGAGCGCTGGGTGCGCGTGTACCGAGCGGCGCATGCGTGCGGAACCACCCGCAAGGAGCACGACGCCTTCCGGCTGGCCACTAGGGACCTGCAGCCATCCGTGACGCTCACTGGTCTGCAGCCCAACTCCAAGTATGATGTTAATGACTTCCTGATGTTAAACTTCTCCTGCCGCGTTTGGGAAAAATTGTGAGAATGACTCCAAGTATGATCTTAAAGACTTCTTGAAGTAAAACTTCTCCTTGCCGCGTTTGGGAAACATTATGAGAGTGAAATTTTTACGATGCGCGCATGCGACGTGAAGAAGTCGGTTGCAAAGCGAACAAATTCACGTTTATTACCATGGCACACAATAACAACTTTTTGACATTTATCTATAATTCCAAGTTATTTAATTAAACCGTTATCAATTGCATTAAATGCCTTTTTCACAAACAGTACTGGGCACAGGGGATAAAATTTTTAGTTATTTTTCTTTTATTACGTTAAAAAAGTATAAATACTTACGTGCCTACATGAGTACACACAATTACTTGACTTCCATATTTACCACTCAGCGATTAAAATCACACAAGCGTTACCGATTATCGCAATCAATCGAATCGAATGAACCTGCCTATTCACATAACAGTAGATAGATGTTGCTTTGTGGCCCCACCGCAGTAGATACGACTTTAAATACGAGTATCAATTGGTCCTTGATTGAACATTCACGTATAGATTTCTTAACTATAATGTTGAACGATTTAACTTAATTATGTTGTGATATACAAGTGACAATCTTAGGCTTTCTTTTTAAGATGCCGAGTGTGGCTGGAGCTGTTCTTGACGAACGGAAAAGTTAAAACAAGTAACGTTCTTGAGATTCATACGAAATCGGCAGATTCTCCGGAGCCAATAGACAGTAAGTTTATGCTTCTAAATATTATTTCATAACAATTAGCATATTACCAAAGTAAATTTCATCATCAATGGACTCAATGTCAGCCAAATTCGCTAGTTTCCTTAATCACATTAAAAACTGCGAAATTTTAATAATGTTTGAGTTGTGCTTGCTGTTTAAGTTAGTTGTAATTCACATTATGACTCACTTTAACCGCTGTACTCACCGCGGGTAGCTTTTATCATCCTATCACCTCCTGCTGAACTGATGGCATCGCTTGACCTATCACTTCATCCCAAGCAAGTGTGAGTTGGCCTCGCGCAAGTAGGGTTCTGTAAAATTATCTATAAAAATGACAAAAACATAATGTCTTTTGTACGGAAGCCCCACTTAAATATTATTTTAATTTGTTTTTGTTGTTATAGCGGCAACAGAAATACATCATTTGTGAAAATTTGTGACAGCGAAGTCTTAGTAACAGGGTCCCGTTTTTCCCTTTGGGTATGGAACCCTTAAAGGCACCGAGCGAAACATCTCATATCGTATTGCTTTCCGTTAATTACAGATGTAATAGAGGCTTCTTCGGTCGCCGGCGGGCGTGGTACGCCGCGCGGCGACTACTATGGTGCGTTGGTGGTGGTCGGCGTGATAGCGGCGCTTGGCGCACTCACTTCGCTACTGCTGCTTCTCGTTGTAGTGCGCCGGCATCGTCCGCGCTCAGTGCCGATAACACGTGAGTGCCTATAACATATGACTTTTTTTGAAGTGAAACTTCCAATGCGACCTCCAACAAGGTTGCGTTAAACGTTTAACGCTACCATGGAGGGCGTATGAACGCACTGTTGCGTTTAACGTTCAACGCTCCTGGGGAGAGGGAATAGAAAAAGACAGAGCAAGAGTGAATGCGTTGCGCTCGATGTTTCACTTCTTCCGCGCTTTAATTTTTTTAAATTAAAAACTAGCCAGCACTTGACTGCCATCCCACCTGACGGTAAGCGGCTATGCAAGCGTTGATGGTAAGCGCGCTAGCTCTGTAAAAATCTATTCACTCTCGCCTTGAAGACGCTTACGTTGTATTCGGACGGAAAGACGGACGCCGGCAGTTTTTTCCATTCCTTAGCCGTACGGATGATAAATGACGAAGCGAACTTCGTGGGTCACTTCCAGTTGACTTGTGCGGGGAGGGGGGTCGGGGGGGGTCGTGGGTTCCATTCCCACACGGGACAACTATTTGCGTGACCCACAAATAATTGTTTCCGATCTGGGTGCTTTTACAAGCGAAAGGTGCATATTTGTGTAAAACGTCCTTACGACACAGGATCGTGTTATCCTACAGTAAGGGCAATGTTTAAGTAAAAGCTAGAAAAAGAAAAAAGACTCTATTACCTGTGTCATTTAGGCTTAAAACTGGTAATTTGTTTTTGTTTAATAAAAATATTAACATAAAAAATTCACCCAACATGATGATGATGCTTGTATTTTGAGGAGTACCACGTCATATCATAAAACTGGTATGAACTTGAATTATTATCCTTTTGTGTTTCATCTGTTTTCTACTGGTTGATTTCGTGTATGATATACACTAGTATATTCAAATGATTACCTACCAATGTAATTAATTTAATTCATTATTCTTTCAAGCTGTGCCTTCAGCTCCTAGAGAGTCGTCGCTGCCACCATATGACAATCCAGCTTACAAACTGGAGTTGCAACAGGAAACGATGGGTAATTGAAATCATGTAATTTTCTTTGGACTCTCTGGTTCTCTCACATCTTGAATGATAGGCGTACAGCACGTAACCCAAAGATCATGTCTCGGAACTCCGCATCAATCATTTGATAATCAGTTTCATCATATCATCAGCTGCATGACATCCACTGTTGAATGAAGGATTTATCGTAATTAAATTACTAGGGTGTTACAACTTTTGTGACTATATTCCAATAGTGTAACACACTTCTTACTCGATAATTTATGTAACGTTGCAAGGCGTTTTAGTAGCACTAGACACTGATTTGTAATCTGATGTCTCGGGTAAAGAAGTCTAATAACGAATGAGAACAACTGACTCGCATCTTTAGCCGATGTATTGTGACTGGTCGCTCGTGTATAAAAAAGTAAAGTAAAGTATCAGCCTATACATGTCCCGCTGCTGGGCAAAGGCCTCCTCTATACAGAGGGTACCAACACGGATTGTACCACCCCACTGCGACTTGGACTTCACATACCTTCGAAATATGTTTTTTTTTATTATTATTTCGAAAATATTTTTTTTTATGAGAAGTTGCCAAGCGAGCAGACGGTTCACTTGATGTTAAGTGAACACCACCGCCCATGGACATCTGCTACACCCGAGAGTTCCAGATGCGTTGACAACCTTTCGAAAATTGGGGTCAGGCCACCTCACTCACCAGACGAAACGCGAAAGTATTATACTTCCACTTTACGCCGATCTTCTGTGAGGTCGTGTACTTACCCGGACGAGCCTGCCCATTCGTGCAACAGCCGAGGCCGCTGCGTGGCCCTACCACCGTAAAAATATGCAGGTTTCCTCACGATGTTTACCTTCACCGCTGAGCACGTGATAATTCAGCACTTGAAATTGACACGGGGATCGAACTCAGGTTGCTCGAGTATATTGAATTATAAGCGAGCGCCCAGACACTGAGCTATCACGGCTCGTGTTTGTGCTGCGGAAATTTCCTTTTTACCCATTTTTAATACGGCCTTCTCTTTCGTATTTCACCAGATCTCTGACAGTTAAGTTCCCGTGGGCACATTAGAAATGGGCTCAACGGGACCTCAGAGCGCTACGTTGACCCACAAAAAGGCCGTAGGCCCTACAACGAAATGGCCGTATGAATTTATACAAGTGATAAAAGGAACTTTAAATCAAGTGTTGATCGTTGCAACATACAAGCGTTGCGTTTTTGTGAACTATTGACGTGAATTCCTCGATGTGAAATTTCGGATACACGTGTGATGTGAATGGAGGCATTTATGTATGTTGTATAATGTTACGTGCAACAAAATGTGCTTTTGTCTATGTTTGGCAAATATAGCACATTCTTAATAGGCATAGAAGCGCCTAATACAATCTCTTTTGTAGATTCCAGTTTTTGAAAATGTTAAACTTTATACCTATCATATCGCTACAGATGTACCCGTAGATTTCTTTCTTAGGATTAAATACTGTTTGTTATATTTGCTTATTCAAATCTACTGTAATGATTGAAGGTGTAATTTGTTTATAAGCACTTTAACTTAATATTTGATGCACTTCATATTGATAACGTACTCTATATTTGAAACTCTTAATAATTAGTTTATTAAAAATATTCAATTTAATGATAAAATAATTGAGTAGTTTAATCGACACAAGCAGAGGTATTTATAGTTTTGAGTTTCTATAACGAGTAAGGTAGCCGAATAAGGTGTCTCATGCAAAGTCGGAAACGCAACTGCAGAGTAACTGAAGTCTTCATGTCCGTGGGTGGGGATCATATTTACCTTTTAAAAATGTTTAACTTACTCTATTAAAAAAAATCTTATCCATAAATTTCACAAAGTTGCGATAAATGATTTTTTATTATACCTTTACGAATTGTATATATTGTTAATAAATTATACATTTATTGTTGAATATTATAGAGATAGGTTTGCTACGGACCTTAAGAAAATAATTTAAGCACTTTAATAATGTGGAACGATTTACATTTCCTTCATATACAAAATTTGAATCCTTTAGCAGAATGTTACTGTATACTGGATATGTAATCATTAAAAAACTTCGAGGTTTGATCAAAATATTCTTAATACTCTATTTTGTATCATCCAGTGGAAATAAAGGTTTCGTAAATCTGTATATATTTGATTAATAGCTTCATATTAATTACGTAACTACTTTGAAGTCAAAAGGTGGGATTTACTACTATTTGAAAAGCAATTCAAAATATTCTTGTTTTATTAATAGACAACATACGTACTCGATACATTGTTAGACTATAATGGTAGCAAACAATCATTTGTCACGGTAAAAACGACTTTAGTCTAATGTAAGAAAGACTGCATAAATATTATTTCAATAAATATTTATCCCATGAACTCATATAATTAATTTAAAATTTGAAACATGTATGAAATAATACACATTTATTAATAGTATACCGCGATAATCAATAAAATCTGAAGTTGCTATAGTGTCTTTACATGTGCCTTAAATGTGCCTTTCTGTTGAATATTCATTGATATGACAAGTTACCTAGAGTTAATTCGTAATTTACATGTATTGTGGCAAACAATACTGTTATTTAATGTAATATTATTTGTAATATAATAAAAAACTCTATTTATGAATCTTTTATAATTTACTTTACTTCTGACGAAACACAACCGATTTGTGAATGAAGATCAGTAGAACGTGGTTTTTTATTATAAACACTTTGATGGCTCGACATTATTAAAATAAAATGAATGTAAGGTAATTTGCACTCGTGCGTGTGTGCATGCGTGCGTGCGTGCGTGCGTGCGTGCGTGTGTGCGTGTGTGCGTGTGTGTGCGCGTAATTTTTGTAAATGATTGGTAAGAGGTAATGTTTTTGGAGTTAATTGGGTAGAAAAAAATATTTGGGGTGGATATATCTAATATATAATATTCTCGTGTCACGGTGTTTGTAATTGAACTCCTCCGAAACCGCTCGACCGATTTGAATGATGAAATGACCGAAAATTTTGTGTGCATATCGGCCAGGGTAGTGAATCGGACAAAATCTATTTTTCCCCCTAAATATTATGGTTATCCCACCCCTAAATTTTATTTTTATTTTTATATAAAATTTTTTGTTTTAATTTTTTCATGATACAGCATACAAAAATACATTCAACCCTAAATTTTCACCTCTCAACATAGACGTAGTCGCGGGCAGCAGCTAGTATTAGATAAAAATTCTTTGCTCTCAAAATGAAATTTTAAAGTTAGTAGAAAAATAGATGAAACGTTCCAAATTGGTCGCCACTGCGAGGATTTGAACCTGCGTTCGCCGGGATACGTGCCCGACGCTCTAGCCACTGAGATAAACAGCATATATTCATGAATCTATCGAAATTGTGAGCTTTTTATTATCTTATTGGTACTTACCCAACAGCCGAGGCTGCTGCGTGGCCCTACCACCGTATAATCAATACATCACTTAACTTCTCTTGAACAACCTTGAGTTGATTGGTAGATAATGCATTTGTACTTTTTTTCGTGTATAGAGTTACTCCAGATCTCAAATGATGAATTTTTAAAACACCAATTTTTCTCAGACTCCAAACTTATGGTGAAAGATAAATAATAAAAAACAAACTAATATCCATATTACGCAAAAAGAACAGAATAAATAATTTTCATAAAAATTGTAGTAAAGATTATACAAATATGATTATTAGACATTTCAAATTAAAACTTATGTACAGGTGTAGTAGGTTCTGTATCGTCAAGATACAGGATGTGAAACACAATTTTCCCTGTAAAGAAGAGTTATTAAGTTTCAATTATAATATTTTTAATTTTTTCCAATATAAAAATTACATCCGAATCGTACACTTAATAATTACTAATATTATTATTAATATAATAATATTAGGCTGAATTACTTTTATCGGGGTGTAGAGCCATGCAATTATGTAATAAATCAATATAGTAAAATACATCAATAATATTTTATTCAAATCACCTTTTTCAAAATGTTGTTTTTGTTCAGTATACATTTACAATAAATATTTAATTGTGTAATGTCCTCGCTCTAAATATCTCATGTGGAATATGAATGAAGCGACAATTTCATAGCAGTACGATGAAACGATCTGTAACCGTCGTAGACGAGCTTTGTGTAAATAAGATTAGGTCATGTCTCATTAACTTAGGAATTCATTTGTGAGAATAATTTGCCAAGCCTGTCAGAAACGAGTCATGTGTAGTAAGCTGCCAAATTTAAGAATAAGAAAGCATTTTTTTTGCTGCTAATTCGTAAGAATCAAGAAATACATCTCTAGATAAATTTATGTCGAAATCACTCAGGTCAATCTGAGGGTCAGAAGGATTTACTTCTAGCGACCTCTTTCAAGTCCATTAAACAGGTATATAAATGCCAAAAGAAGTTATCCATGTTACTAAAAAAGGATATATAAAGTATTATATTAATTAAGATCCCTTTTATCGGAGGAGAGAGTAATGACAACCATCATCTATTTATGGTTTTTTCAAAATAAAAACATTTTTATGTTTTTATTTATTTATTTATGTTATGAAGGAAACGATAAAAGCATCAGCTGTTATAACACCACGTGAACGATATGTATAAAAGACAAGAGAAAAAAAAATAAACAAGAAACTATCTTTTCGTACTTTTTCTACATGTTTTAATGTTCATTCTTAAGTGCAGAGATTAGCACTATAAAAAACTTTAAAATTTAAGAAACTATCTCATAAACATTCTTTCTATACGTATTTCTCTTATTAAGTTCAACTTTCTGGTTTACCAATAACTGATAATATTTATATATTGCTGGCAATTAAAGCTTCTATTCTGATTATTATTATTGACTGTCTGAAACCTGACACACTATATTTTCTATATTATAATTCTATAAAAACCTTTCACAAAAGATTGTTAATTACAAACAGTTATTTGATAGAAAATCTTCTCTCTCCATAAATTAATATAAATACAGTCTGCTGCTCACCAAACGGTGCTGGCAAAGTAGACTTGTTGTTAAAACTGAATTTTGTACGCTTTGATAAATTCGAAATCCATTTATAATTGAAACGGAATAAATTTATTGAAATTACTTGTAACGAGGGCAAGACGTTATAAAATTACATTATGGAGACCCGATTGGCGTATTGAACATGTCTCTTATCCTAAAAAACCACACATACAGGTTCCATGCGCTCTACTGGAAAAATATTGTATTGTTTTGTCATGAGTCTCATGTCATGGTCTCTACATATTTCTAATGTGTAATTATTTACAAAAAAAAAAGTATATTAATCAGTTACTTAATATCTATATTACAACTTACTTAGTCCGAGACTATATACAGTTGTGTAAAAATGTTTCAAAATGTTGGAAACCATTAAAATGACGTTAAACGGTCTATATTCCATATGGATCCATAATAAAGATATGCGAAATCATACTGTTATTGTTCAAAGCCTTGTTTCTATTTGACCTTTAAATGTTAGGTTTTAAAGTTGAGGAGTCCCTTTTATGACGGGAAAACAACTTTACAAAATATATTCAATTGCTTTGAGTTATCTAACGTAAGCATTTATTTGTTTCCCGATAGATACTGTTGTTGATTCTGGAAAGTTTATTGCGATATTAAGGGAAGCGCAATAGATTATACATTGGTTTTAATTTTACGATACGTGTGTTACTAGAATTAACAACAACTTAAACTTCATGTTGTCTTTTCTAAACTCTTAAAAAGACCACTATTACGACGTGGTTCTTATTTTATCACTATGTGATCAACCTAGCGCTTTTCTGAAAGAAAACTGCTTTAGAAAGACTGAAGATTGATTATTATTTAAAGTAACCTGTAATTACGTTTAATTGAAAATTAATATACGTGATTAAGGTGATTATTCCGACCGATTTCAGCCATGGCGGCCTCTTCATCCTCTGATTGATTTGGCGCTAGTTCGTCCGAAAATGGCTTATTTATGGCCAATCTTGGCGGCAAACTCTTTTGAACAGTGAGGGCACG